GTGCTTCTTCAGTATTTCATTAATTGAAATTCTCCTCAAGGCAGGAAAGATAATTCTCTGGTAATTAAATATTCCTATGATAATTTTGAGTAATATACTGAAGGACGTAAGGAAAAAAAGTTGCTTTTTATTACACATTTTCCTCATTGTCTTCATCAACTTGGAAATCAATATTAAGCACACTTCGTACTGATTAAAAAAATCTGAACACATTCTTCATATGCATACTAATAAAAGACAGATCATTTCTGGCATATCTGTGAACATAAAATAATGTATTTAGACTCTTTATCCTTTTACAGTGTTAAGTCAATATTTTCTATAACCTTCACCCGCAGAAACAACAACCCTACGTTGACTTTCCATGCAGCTCATAAGCGTATATTGGTCGCATTTGGTCTCTTTGCCATTGGTCATGTTGTGCAGTTCTTGCTGATTCTGGGGAAGTGTTGGACGAGTTGAAATGCGTTGCTGAAGAGTACCCCAAGCATATTCACTTGGGTCTAGGTCAAAGAAAGTCAATCCATCCACTGTTTAATGTATCTTTTTGAGGTACCCATGTACAAGTCGAGCTCTTTGAGATCGCACATTATCGTCCATTAGAAAAAAAATCTGTCAAACAGCACCGGCGATTAGTTTAACAGCTTGATGAAGAATATCGTCACGATATTTTAAAGTCAATCTTCACTACTGTGCAAATAAATTTGTTAGTCAAATCTTATCCCTGCCAAAATCATCACTGATTCACTTTCAAATCGGTCGAGCTCAGAAATGCAACAATCAGCATAACACCCTGCATTTGTCTTCCATATATACATAAGTCCTCTACCATCAAAAAAGTTTCGTCCGAGAAAAGACAACTGAGCGCCAATGGCAATGTTGCAAGTGTTTGTGCTCTGTTGCCCCTTGCAGCAGTTTTTTGCGATGCTGTAATTTTTATAGGGGCGTACAGCTGGTCTGAAAGTTATGAGATTAGACAAATATAGTTTGTTTCCAGCTGTCGATGAGTAGAACTTTGCATTCCTGTTGGTCTCTGGAAGTCGGTGTTTACTGCACCATGAAAGCTTTGCTTTCTAGAAACGATGACCAAATAACGGTCCTCACGAGCTGTGATAAAATTTGGAAGTCCTAATCGTGGTTTTATTTGGCGTTTCTGTCTGCAAATGCTGGTTCCATTGACAACTGATGACATGCCATCAGCCCTGGAGCTCTCAGATTGGTTCACATGTTGCCTCATTGTGTCTCGGCATGAATTTCACCCCCTCTTAACGAAATGATTTATTAACAGCAGGAAATTGAATTGGGATCTCTCAGCCATCTTAGTTCCACTCATTTTTCTACATCCCTCTTTTCTTAAGAAACTCAATAGCAAGAATACTTAATTAAACATGTGGTAATCGAGACTAAACCTGGGTAGAAGGCATGTTTATTTAGCTACTGTAGCCTTGTCAAAACATAAATTCAGTTTTGGTAAATATTTTTATTGAAGTCAAACTACGATGCGACACCTTTTTATCCAGTATATAATCTTAACGCCAAACCCAAAAGGGAATTAAAATTAAAAAAATCAAAACATTAACACTAAAATACGAACAAAATAATTTAACCATATCATGTTGTGATGTTAAATGTCACACTTCATAAGATCTGTACTGTACAGTGGAGAAAGTGACAAAAATAATATCGCTCAGTCAATGTTGAGGAAAAGAGAAAAATGTGAAACAGTATTGATATACAACCGATTTCACATGTATGATAATTCCATGAGTATTAACAACACGAAAATAGATAACTATGACATACTTTAAATTTTTTAAGCTATTCTTTGGGACTTTACGTATGTACAATTTCTAAAACGAGGTAAATTATTGACAAATAAGTTGATGAAACAAGAATATCAGCTGTTTAAAGTCATCATTTCGTAAGTTCTATGGTCGATACAATGACCTTGTCAGCAAATACAATTTATCATTGAGTCAAATGCTGACTGACGTTTTTCACACTAATTGTTAGGCCATTATTTACACACTGAATTGTCGACAGATTTTTCCGTTATTTCCCGATCATGACAAGGAGCACACGGCGAGTGTGACCGGTCGGCAGGGGATGCTCACTCCTCCGTGGCACCTGATCCCACCTCTGATGTTTGGAGGTCCGTGTTTGCTCTGCTCCTATTTTGATTAATGGACTTTTGAGCTTGAATACTGTTCGTTATCTCCATATATTTCATTGATTTGATTCACACCCTGTAAACTTTGAAGGCTAAGACAACATAACTTTGTGGCATGATGCGTTTTGAGCCTGTGATTGTATAAATCCAAAATGTATGACACTGTTGTCTACCACAGGACGAAAGACCATCTTTAAGCAATCGCTAATGGTGGCTTATAGAAGTTAATTCCTTTAAGCCACCATTAAACCACCATTAAGCTGCAGCTTCTAGGTGCTTAATGTCCAAACTTCATTAAGCTACCATTAAGCCACCTTTAAGCTTAATGTCCAAACTTAATTAAACCACCTTAACGCATCCAGTATCAAGTCATCAAACTAACTTGTTAAGTGTAAAGTTGTTTCAATATCATTTACGTAAATACTTATTCAATTCATAATGTTTTCTCGCTATTTCTATCCTTTTTGTCAATGCGTATAAACTCGGGAACTGAGAACAACTTCACCAAAGGCCTTAAAACTTTCGCTATCTAAAATCAGTTTGTTTGAATACTTGTTTTAATATTATTTTTATCCATAAATACATTATATATATAAATTTTTCAAAAAATCACGTATTTTTCTTTCGTGTTTGGAGAGCCATGTTCCGCTGCCGAATTCATAGGAAATTATATTGTAATTAGAGTCAGTTTCTCCTGGATATCTCTAAGTCTCTTAATTTTTCTTTGGGTAGAGAAATGTTTAAGATAATATATATATATATATATATATATATATATATATATATATATATATATATATATATATATATATATATATATATAGATTATATTGCCAACCATTGAATTACTTCAGGAATAATTTGAATTAATTCGTGGTTAAGTGCCATTATTTTTTTCTTTCTTTTAAAATACCGCAGAAGTAAGAATTTATTTAAAATAATGCAGAAGTAAGAATTTATTTAAAATAATGCAGACAACTCTGCTTTACTGGATGTCGGTCTTCAATAATTGTTATTTCAAAATCAATTTTCAGATGAACAGTCGATCAGATTAAACATGACGTCCGACCAGAGTTATACACTATGGGAACCGGGGTAAAATAAACAGTGTACAGAATATCGACTGGTTAGACAATAGACCTTAATTAGGTGTCCCCACCAGTCCCCGGTCAACTAACAGGAAACTATACACGGGAATGTACAGTGACAGATTTTGATGATCTATTATTTTTACAAAACTTAAAATTTACGGAAGCATATAACAAAATTAGAAATTATGATTGTAGACAAAAAGACAATTATTTTGATACCCATAATGATATAAAAAGAATTAAATTGAAGATGATATATTAAAAAATACTTTATAGCTTAAATGTTACGCAAAGAAATCGTAAATATCTGCAGCATATTTATAAGAACTATAATCTGTTTTTTCCCATCGTTTTCTTTCGATGATATATTCCTTTTAATAACAAAATTTTGTTATATCTGTTGAATTTTAATCTTTTCATGCTTATAAATCAGCGAATAACAGAACGAGGAATTCAGTAACTTAAAATGAAAAAGTTGTTTCACACCATCACAACGAACTCCGGTCCACGGTTAAGAAACATTAACGTAATATAAAACTCAACAAAAAAATCTTTTTTAAAATATACATAAATATAATTATTCGTATTATTGATCAATAAATATATTAGAAAAAAATACATGCAAACAAGTTTTGTTAAAAATAAAGTTTTACATTTCACTTGAATTTCAACAGCCCCGATACCTCAGTGGTTAAAGCGCTCGCCCTCCAATCTAAAGATCGTGGGATCGAATCCTTTTGGGAATGCTTTTTTTCATTTATTTTTTTTTTTATTTTATTTCATTTACATTATTTTCGCCGAATTAACAAATGTATAAACTCGACATTTATAATTTTTGTGAGGAAATCATTATAAAAATAATATTTAACCCATAAAAGCAGTTTTATCGACTTCGTATTGGTGACTTAATGGTGGCTTAAAGGTGGTTTAATAGTAGCTTAATGGAGTTTGGACATTAAGCACCTATAAGTCTGGCTTAATGGTGGCTTAATGGTGACTTAAAGATTGTCTAGAAGGTACCATTAAGCAACCATAAGCCACCATTAAGCTACCTTTAAGCACCCATTAAGGACTTTCAGATGGCTTAATGGTAACTTAATGGTGGTGTATTTATTACTTAAAGGTAATTTAAAGGTGCTTAATGGTGACTTAAAGACAACCATTAAACCATCATTAAGGACCTATAAGCCACCATAAGCCAAACTTAAAGGAAGTGTTTCATCTTGTGTACGGTCAATGTAGCCTTGATGTAGAGTGCTGGTTATAAAGAACCCTCACTGCTCACAGGCTCGGAATTCCAGGTAAAGGTCGGAATTTAAAGCCCTCTGGTGGAATATGGTGACGTGTCCTATGAGAGAAAACTTCTTGCAAAGGATGTTTAACAATAATCAATCACTCAGTTAAAATTTTGAAATCAATATTGATCCTACATTATTACCTATCAGTAGGACATATGATAATATTGTTAAGAATAAGGGAAAATAATCATCGAAAGTTGTATGTCATGCATTTAAAATAAAGGTGAATCGACCAAAAAAAAAAGTCATGATGGCTATATCTGAAAATTCAATAGCTATAAAACCTGTACACTTAGTGTAAAATACAGTTAAAGTCATACGATCATAAGATCTCATTATATACTGAGTTTAATTGGAAACCTGTGTATAATTTGAAGTTCATTTGGTATTGTTCATAGTTTCTCAGATTCGTATTTCCAGCCCAAGGTCTTCTTGTTTTGGTAGGTGGTACTGCGAACATCCAGTAAAGCAGAGTTGTATGATTCCGCCATTGTAGTGGACGAGGGTCATGCGATAAAGCAGGATATGGTGTTTGACGATTCCCAGATGTATCTGTACGCCATGAGTGACAGAAAAGTAAGGACATATGAATTTTTAATGCTTAATTTATGTGAATTTAATACAATTAATACATGTATAAATATATTGCACAGAAAATTTTACACACACACCCACTTCCGCTCTTCGCTCATATATACAAAAGCAATTTTCAATATCTTAGCAATATTTTAACTCTTTGTATGGAAAGAGAAAAAGTATGCAGCCTTTGTTTCTAAGAATGCATCACTTTTCCCTACAGTTAAATTTCAAACATAATTTTCCACTGTGTCCACAAGGACTCAAAATTATCAGCAGTTAAATCTTTAACAGATAAATACTTTTTTTTACATTAAAATCCATTTTAAAATAGGTTACCAGTCCATTTAAATTTGGCATTCTAACATCTTTTAAACAATGAAAAAATACTGTTTAGCATATAAAATTATGAAATTTATAGCATAGTTTGAATTTAAAAGAGGCAACTTTCAAAAAGATCACATTTTAAGCATCAAAACACACGTTTTGATGAAGAACTATAAATATGTATAAGCATATAATACATCTTCATACATGAAAAATACAAGCAGAATATACAATGGTTTCGCATCCATAGTTACAAAAAGTACAAATATAATTTTCTTTTATTTTAATGTTTTAAGGTAGTCATTTATGGGGAGTATTCTATGTTAAATTCTAACCATTAGACAGCAGCGTTTCAACATTTCAACATACATTAAAGCACACTTTAAAATATCTTTAAATTGCATTTCTTGGAATCCTCTCAAAAGTATTTCGGCATTCCATTTTGAAAAAGCAGTAGGATTTACAATCTTCGTGTTTAAATATTTTTATGAATATGTTCTGTACATTTATCAGTCAATCTCAATCTTTTATTTAAATGGTAAAAAGAACGCTGTAGCTTTATAATATTTTCCTGGAAAATATCGTCTCTTTCAAAAACTTCGAAGTAGCACTGAAATAATGTTACATTGCATAATATGATGAATTTTGTATTTTTCCACCAAACTCTAGACAAAAATGAACCATATGCCTTGGCATATGAAAATAACCATGAATACTTTTCACACCTTTTTTGTACCATTCTTTATTAAAATCACTTTTTATTCACTTTAATACAAGGGTTGAACCACACCGGGGTAGATAAAATTTCAGCATGTGTAAGACTTGACTTCAAACCAATCAGTAAGGACAGATGACTGACAGACAGCATTGATATCTAAATTGTTATAACTAAGACGATAAAGAAATATATTTAAAAGTAGAATTCCCTTGAAAAAATGATTTTCAAGCAACCTATTCTAGCTTTGCAATTACATGTACAAAATGGACTCTAGTAAACTCAAAAGATTTTTTAATATTTGTCTTTGAATGATATCTGCTTCTTATTGTTTTCGATTTAAGAAAATATTTAAGTATTTTCGTTTCAATAAAAACATGCATAATGGATAAATTTCTTAATTTTTTTATTGAATTAGTATTATGTGACAATTAACTATTTTCAGTTGGCCAAGATTCCAGTACAGAATTGTACCCAGTACACCACATGCGGAGAATGCCTATTAAGTAATGACCCCTACTGTGGGTGGTGTGTTCTAAGCCATAGGTCTGTATCAAATAGATGGAATTTTTAAGTTTGCATTTTACCAGTATATTATCACCGATTTAATACTTTAAAGCTCCCACCCACCCACCCATATCCCTCCACCCCCTTAAAAAAATCTGAAAATCTGAAAATTGAAATTATTTAGAAAAAAATAATTGTAATAAGTGTTCTGGTTTTTTTTTTTTTTTTTTTTTTTTTTTTTTTTTTTTTTTTTTTCTGCAGTTTTTTTTTTTTTGAAATATGCAACATGTTTTACCTGCACATATTTTTTTTTCCACTCATATTTTTCCCTTGTTTTTACTATGAGTAAGCAAATTTATGTGACTGTTAATTATCTTAATTGTATATGCATGTACCTATGAATAATTAATATCTAAATTTCTATAGGCTTTAATTTGATAGTTCCCTTACTTGCAGATGCTCATTGAAAATTGAGTGCTACAATCCAACACGAAGTCGATGGGTTAACGGACCAAGTCCAGAAGACAACTGTCTCAAAATTCATAGTGTCTCCCCACCAATGGTCCATGTCTCACAAAACATTAGCGTAATAATAGATTTTTTGTTCAATACTAGCATTAACAAGAAAACAAAAAATATCAGTTCTGTTGTAATTGTATGCATTTTCACTAAAGCATATGTTCCAGTTTAGTCTTCTCTTGTAACAACCTGGTTTCCCAGTGGCTGTATAGGTATTGACTCTGTATGTTCATCCATGGTCTAGCGTTCTCTCCAGAAGAAGACCTTGAGACATTTTATTGAGTTCCACAATTTTGTATCAAGGAACATGTACGGATGTATTATGCATGTTATAAGATTTTCCACTTATATGTTTCAGTAATGGCCTTTAAAAATATTCAAAAAGAAAAAAAAGCCAAATGTTAGATTTTTTTTCCGGAACTTTGTTTAATGAAACTTTGAGATGTGCACGTAAGACTTGAAAAAAAATATAGACAAACTAAATAAATATTTCTTTCTATCCGAGCCTCCAAAGGTGTGTCGTGTATACATGTAGCAGAGTTGCCCATTGTTTATTCTTTGTAAAATCTGATCTTCTCTAACTGATCTAGAGTTGGCCTAATGAAAAAATGTTGTAGTAAACTTTAGTTAACTATAATTAACTATAGTAAATCAAACTTTCAAAGTTACATGCATCATTGTTTTCAAAGTGATCTCTATAGGTCATAGTTATCACCATAGAAAATTAAAGCTTTTAAAGTTATCACTATAGTAAATCAAAGTTTTCATAGTTTTCACCAAGTAAAACAAAAAATTCATAGTAATCACTATACTATTTCAAAGTTTTCATAGTTATCACTAAAGTGTCATAGTGATCACTATAGTAAATCAAAGTTTTCAAAGTTATCACTATAGTAAATCAAAGTGTCAAGGCTACCACTATAGTTAAGTATAGTTTCCGTAGGGTCAAAGTTATCACTATAGTTTACTTTAATAAATTGAAGTTAAGTATAGTTTACTATAATATTATTTGTTAGGGTATGACCTTTACGTAAAATATTAATGTTTTCAGAAATTCGTTGAAAGTACTTGTTTTTATAGCATTGAAATATGAAGCACATGTACATAAAAAGGATATAAAAAATGAAGGATATTTAACAGAGAATTCAATTTAAAAAAAAAATAGCATTAAGCATGCTTTTGTGGAAAACATATTCTAGTTATTTAGGGAGAGGTTTGATAATTATAACATTTCCATTTATAGAAACGGTTTGCATATTTTTTTTTAAAATTCTCAGATCAAATGTACATTGTATTGTTCACTCTGAGTATAGACAATTGGACAAGTGGGGGATAGTGCTTTAGAAAATTTTTTTTTTGAAAGTGTTTACTATTTTTAATCAGCAGACAAACACTTGAACACTTGGCTCTATGCGAATACGAAGAATAAAATCTTTGAAATAATTTTTATGATGTAGGTTGAGGATATCCAATGTTTTGTCATTGGATATGGATTTTTTTTTTCACGAGTGGGACATGTTATTCTCACAGTGTATATTATGAGTCAAAATATTGACAAATCCTTTCTCACGAATGAAGTAGATTCCCCACTCACTTACAAAATATTGGGTTTTCTGTTTATTACATTTTCTTTGACTTTTACTTTGACTCTTTCCTTCCGTTACACAATGTTTTGGGCTGTGGTTTCATAGTTAAGTGGATGAGACGGCATAGCTTAGTCATTAAGAGATTGAAAACATACTAAAATATGGATTTCAACATATTTGAAGAAACTGTAAAAGTTTTAATCTCTGACAGAATTGTTTAATTACTTCCTCTTTCTTAAAACAGGCCAGGGAGTATTTCGTTTAAAATCTCAGATAAGGGAAGGGAAATCGGGAATTTTGCTACACTTCTTATATTCTTCCACACCGTGAAAAACTTTCACTTTAATCTACTTTCACACTGAGACAACGTTACTTTTATTTTATAAATAAATTACAGCATTTCACTGTTCAAAATATAATGAATTAACTGTTGTTTTTTTTTTTTACTTTTTCTAGTTGAATCTAACAATCATAGATCTCCCTCGAGATTACAATTCCTCCTACAACTGTGTGTTTAGCTTTCCTAACGGAGATCAGAGATTATCCCCAGCTCGACAATGGTATTCTGATATTGGGTGTAGAATTCCTAATGTTGATGAACTAAGACTCTTCTTCAACAGCGATCTGGGTAAGAATATATGATTGATTAATTGTATGTTGTTTAACGTCACATACGAGAATTTTTCACTCGTATAGAGACGCCACTGTAAACGCCAACTACGTTTTAAAGGTCATATCCGAAAGACCCTTGACTTTCACTTCTTATGCCGGGCTTATACGAAGGAACATTCACTACCTATGTTTACGTCTTAAAGCCCTATCACATTTCCAAACACGACCAAAGGCTGACAGGATTTAAGTCTTCGGGTGTCAGTCGGCAGTTCATTGGCCAATATTTTGTCTAATCGTGACCTCTTTTTTCATCAACCTATCAATTTGTGTCCGTGGGGCCCTGTTATATTTTTTTGTGCGTCGGTGGTTTTCAATTGAACCACTCACTGAATAATCCGTCAAGCAACCCTCGATCATCGTCCGTAAACAGTTTGTCAAGTCGGTTGATATTCAGGAATTGGGTTTTGGTAAAGTCGGCCGACGATGAAACTGCTGCACAGTGCTCGATGATCGAATGACGATTGGCTGACGAAATAATATTTAAAGAGTTAAAATCATTCCTGTTCCTAGAGATAAATGTGGCTGTTCAGCGTCGTCCGATAGTATTGTCGGCCGCTCATGTGTTTCAGTCGACAATAGGAGGAAAGTGTGGTCGCCCAAACCACCGGCATAAATGTAACCTAGGTATTAGGCGCCAGAACGAGAATCGAACTCGCTACCTCTGATCATTTCGCGTACTCTCTACCACTACGCTACCACGACCGGTAGGTCAGAATATACAGTGTAGGTTTAATTTTGATTCTGTAGAAAAGACGCATAGAGTCATATCCTTGATGAAATAAATAGATTTATTGCATTATAGAGAGGGAGACATGAAGATTTCTTCGCCCATGAAAAATAATAAAATATGATTTTTCATGGGCGAAGAAATCTTCATGTCTACCGAGCATTCATGCAATAAATTGTTTATTATACCGAATCAAGAACACAGGAGGAAATATAAAAGAAGATAATGAATAGAGTTTACATATCATAAGAAAAATATGAAACAGATGTAATTACATCACTAGCCACACTTCATAAAAAAGCCAATGTGATTTACACACAAGTAACATTCAAACCCAACCCATGTAAACACTTATCTAAATAGTTATATTTAGCACGTTTTACCGGTACTCGCCTCAATCAATCAATGATATAAACAATGTAACTCAATGGCTACCATCTCAGTCGCCTGATTGTGACGCCACAATCATGAAACACGACGTTTTGTTGCAGGGCAAACACGATGGTCACGTACCCTTCTCGGCCAATCAGATTCTATTTTACATGTGATTATTTATATGAGGTATAATAATTCTTCTACTACAAGATCAAATCCACACTTAATCTTCTCACGACATGATGCAGATTTTTCTCCATTGTTTAAGGAGAGATTCCAGTCCAATTGTCTGATTAAATGAAATAATGAAAGTTTGTTGTTTGTTTATTGTTTAACGTTTCTCTAGAGAATTTTTCACACATATGGAGACGCCACCACTTGTCGATGGAGAACTGCATATTTTGACCTATACTTCTGCAATTGAGCAGTGAGGGATCTTTTGCATGCCAGCACCTACTGCGACATGGGACCTCGGTTTATACGGTCTCATCCGAAAGACCGATCTCCACGTCCCACAGTAGGATTCGAACCCCCGACGTAAGGATCAGCTCCTTACTCCGCGACTCTAGAGCGAGCGCTCTAACCACTGCGCCACGCGGGCGACAAATGATAAAAGTATATTTGCTTAAGGTCTGTTTTATGAAGATGTTGGACAGTTTAAAAAATCATTATTTGTCCCTTTTCATAATTATACAATTTTTTTAAAGAAATCATAATCCGAGTTTGATATGACGGAACGGCGAAAAAAGACTAGTGTTTTTCTCTCTGTTTGAAAGGCCAAAACGATTTGTTCTTTAATCATTTTTTAATCTTTTACAACTACTTCATATGTGAATATAAACTTTAATTAATCTATATTGATTTGTTCAGACACTTAAGTCATCGGTTAAACGTTGTTCATATACGCCTTCATATGTTAAATACTGTGCTTACTTTGTGCGAACCTGCTTCCTCTCTCTTCCATATCAATAATGTAGTTAATTTCAAATTGTCATCCCAAAAAAAAAGTAATGCATCCGTTTTGATTCACTGTAAAAAAAATTTGTTAACTGACGTTGTCTTTTTTTCTGTAGGACATATCAACATAAGCTTGGGTATTCAATCTATTGAGACAGGACAAGTGATTGTGTCAACACCTTATCTCATATACAACTGCAGCAGTTTTATCAGGTTGATAAGAATAACATTTAAAATTTCAAAAGTTCCGGAACTGTTGTTGGTGTACATAATTCTTTAAAGACGACGATTCTTCCTTTATTATTTTTTTTTTCAGTTGTACTAGATGTGTTGACAATGTTTACTGGTGTGACTGGTGCATCAGAGAAAACAAGTGTCAGTACAATACTCAGTTGTGCTTAGAGGAAAGTGTCAGCAGTCGAAATGTAAGTATTTTTGAAAGTAAAGTAAAACAATATTTTTGATTGCATATAGAATAATATCAGGGTGTGATTCTTTGTCATTTATCTTTTCTCTTTCAAAACGTACAAAGATCTATTTTAACGAATTAAGATCAAATGAGATCACAAACTTTGTTTATATGGACTGTTTATCAGTGTGTCGTTCAACGGTTATAGCACTGGCCATTCAAAGTTTTGCATTAAATGCAGTAAATATTTCATATTTATTCATGATCAATCCTTAGCTCTGCTAAACGCCACAAATAAGAATAACCAAGATATTGCCATATTAAAAGTACTTCACATTGCATCTGTAAGACAAATCCTTATATTAAATGCATAATATCTTTTTTTCCCAGGATACTTATCGACAAACTGATATGGAATATATTGTGAGTTATGTTTCTCCGTTGTTTGTTTAACTGCTTTCAAATTTTCCTATTACTAGCCATCATGTCTTCTTTTCCACTTCATTCAGCATTCTAAGAAACAATACCAATTATATATTAAGCATGAAAGTGGCCTATGGGTTATCGTTACATATTTTTGGATCGCCCAGACTCACTCCAGCAATAACCGTACGGAAGACTCAACATTACACCAGCAGTGTTCTACACATTCATGTTTGTTTCAATTTTTTTTTTCTGCGGGGCATCTACAATCTCAATAGTGTCCAAAAGTGTAAACAATTAAGAAGGCGAAATATATCAGGACCCAGCTAAACTAGAACTGTGACAATCAGAATACCAAGCAACAACCTATATATAGTCACGTATTTACCGATAAAATTTAAGCAAAACTCATTCTTGAGATTATACTCGAAGTAGTTTGTTCTTTCGATGTGATATGATTTTAGTTTTACAAGATGACGTTGTTTTCTGTTTGAATTGGCTATTACAGGTCAACAAAAGCTGCAATACTCATTCACAAGATCACACTTAGTGAACTCACCCTTAGCTTGGACAGCTTGATCCTCTCAGTGGCCTAGCTTGATCTACCATATAGGGATTTCAACATCTTTAATAAATCTTTCTACACAACTCTTTCTCTATCCTGATTTACAAACAAACAAAAAACAAACAAACAAACAAACAAAACAAAACACAGATTAACTTATATACGATAATATATCAATGTAACGTATCTGGAGTATCTTTTTTTCTTTTGTTTCTTTGGATTTTTAGATCATCTAATCTTTGTAGATAATTATTCATCAAAGATAGATTTAACCTACATGTACATCAGTATCTCCTACTTCATTATGTTTTTTCTCCTATATAAACAACTGTACGCTTTATAAACTTTCTCTTTCAGTTAAATGAACGTCAGTCAAATCTGTTCAAAATAAAACCTTAGCTGATAAAAGTTAGGTCTGTTTTTTCCTTCCTGTCATCATCATGAAGTCTGTTGCAATATACGCCTAATACTTCTAATAGCTGTAAATCTTGACTGTTTATATTGTCATGGTCTAGTTGCTCCTAATGATAATGCAAAGTTTGTTTCAATGATGCAGGAATATCAATAATTTTCAGTTGGAATCTTTTTGACTACAATATGGGCATTTATAATTGTCTATTTTGAGCGTTCGAATTAGATCTCTTTGGAGTGGTATGTTTTGTTATCTTATCCACAGATACAAAGACACAAAGTAAGAAAGGAAGTTTAGCAATTTTGTATATATTAAAAGATACAAAACACCTAATTAATGTCTGCTTACTAATGAAGGATCAGATTCATTGATATATTCTATTAATTTGAGGTGCTAAAACTTTAATTGGATTTTATGAATAGTTCAAAAGAAATAGTTGAAAAAAAAGTTACGATATTTGCATTTTTGATTATTTAAAGGGTACTGAAAGCAAACAAGGCAAGCATTTTTGCCCCGTAGTGGACATAATTCAGACCGGCCCCTTACTGATATCGCAAGATCAATCTAAAAGAATCATCATTCAAGGAAAGAATTTCCCAGAACCAGTAAGTATTGACATTATTTGTATACAATTGCATGTACACTAACTAAGTTCTATTGCATATACCATTCTTGGACTCAAGTAAAATATTTTTTAGTTTTATTCTCAGAACCGAACAATAAGTAAAAAGAATGTGTAGCTCAAATGACACATTTTAAATGGCTATGATATCTTTCTAATGCCTTATAAAAAGCAAACTTGATGATTTTAATTTATTGGGGTCAAATGTTCATATTATTGGTTCGTAGGTCGGGAAGTAATGTCATAGGCTTGCAGATGGAGAATGGGGTACATACTAGTACACCCAAATTAGATCTTCTAGTAAATACTGTAACTATAATACAACACTGTACATGTATTTGGTTACCATTGTATATACATGAGTATTCTCACAGGACCAGTATAAAGGACAAATAAAGTTACCATCAAGGACACTAAATGTAGAGGGAAGAAGGATATCTAGTACTCAGTTAATGTTCAATATCAGCAAGGTAGGTTTTATACAGGAAATACATATAAGATGGTGAATGCTGTTTATCATAGTCTTATAGATTTAAAAATCTACTAACACTTAATAGTAATTACTGGAAAGTGATAAATTACAAAATCTGAGTATATTAACGCAATCTTTCTTTACGCATTGCCATTTCAGATTAAAGATGCTATACCCAAAGGTTTATATGAAGCAAGCATGAAAGTTCTGTGGACGGAAGAGGGGTTTATAATTGAAAATAGCTATCTAATATGTGAGTTTTAGAAAACTAAAAGTACTTTGTTTAAAACAACAGAAATATATGAGTTTTGAAATTATGAGATATCTTTCAATACTTGAGGTAGTACTTGAAATAGTTTGATCTTACCTTTGTATATCATGCTGTTGAGCGTATTAAGTTTATTGACATTAAATTTCTTGTAGGCAAGTATGGATCAATTTTATTTTATTTTAAACTTTAAATTTTAAGAATTATTTACTATGAACTTTAGTAAATGTGTGTACATGCACAGCGTGTGCCATAATTTAACGGCAAAAATCCAAGATGACGTCGCTCAAGCGTGAATCGTAAAGTAAACAAGCTCGGTATACATTATATATTCTTCGGGAAAACACATATATATTTTTAGCTCCTGGTTATTCTTACTTTCGTTTTTAAATTCAAACCGGATGTTTTGTTGTCGTCTGCCTCTGGAAATTTTTACATAATGTATTTAATCATGGCTGAAAACCATAATCATTTGTCAATTGACATAAAAAATGTCATCGTAGATATGCGAGAAAAGGGATATAAGTTACAACAGATTGCTGATGATTTGAACATTTCCAGAGGAACTGTTACACGAGTTATCTCTCGTTTTAAACAAAGAGGTTAGTAGAGAATTTGCCTCAAACTGGACGTCCGCGTTTACTGTCAGTGAGGGATAGTCGTTCGCTTGTTCAGCTTGCTAGAACCACCGGAAAACTCCACTGAAAGAAATTACCACCCAGTTTAATACCTTTAGACCTCGGAAAAAGTGTCTAAAAGAACTGTCCAAAGATGTCTTTACCGGGAAGGTTACCATAGACGCATAGTAAAAATGAAAGTCCGTGTGAAAGAGGTGAATCGTAAAAAGCGGTTAGCATGGTGTCGAGGAAAACTTTATTGACGTGCGAATGGTCAGTGGGATAGAGTAATTTTCTCTGATGAAAGTCAAGTTGTTTTGGGTCAAAACAATAGGTTCTATATATGGCGCCGGAAGGATGAAGCGGAGTCCCCCGATTGTGTCTGCCCCCCCCCCCCCCCCCCGTCCCAACGAAGAATCTCGGTTATGATTTGGGGATGTATGACATATTACAGTGTGGGTACAATTACGACCATAAATGGAACTGTGAATAGACACAAGTATATAGATATCCTTGAGGACAACTTGTGGCCCGTTATAGCTACACATTTTCCGAACCAAAACATTTTATTTCAGAACGATAAAGCCCCGATCCATCGAGTCCAAGATGTCAAAAATTACAAAGCAAGGAACAATATTAATTGTATCAGCTGGCCTGCACAGTCACCTGATTTAAACATTATTGAGAATGTGTGGCTAAAACTTAAACAAAGATTGCAACATCGTGTGGAAAATATCACTATCACCCCGATGAACTTTCCAGGACTATCGTCGACATATGGCAAAATCTCCCTTTGGAATATATACAGGGGCTATATAATTCCCTGCCGAGACGCATGAGGAAAGTTTTGAGGGTCAAAGGTGAAATGACAAAATATTAAACATCGGTAAGTTATTTTTTTAAATTATTATAAGTTTATTGTTTACATTACGCTTCACGCTTGAGCGACGCCATTTTGGATTTTTGGCGTTAAATTATGGCACACGTCTGTACCTTTGAGATACTTTATCATGACAAATATCATTGGGAAAAAAGTTTAGTCAGTATAAATGTTTCAATGTTTAAGGAATTTAAATGCCTTTGCTTGTCATTCAGCTTAGCATCAGTTTTAATGCGTATTTATTCCTATTTCAGTAATGTTGTATAACTGTACTGAACAAGCTGGTGGAGATTGTACCTTCTGTAAGAACCTGGAACTCAGTCAGCCTGCAATGAATTGTAGATGGTGTAGTGACCAGTGTGTTTACAGTCTAAAGAACTGTCCAGAATCTTTATGTCCAACCCCAATTGTCAACAGTGTAAGAAATTGCTCATTTGGTAACGAAACTCAAGGTTTTGTCTTTGAAACCATCGAAATTCATTCAATCATGAGTATTGCAGCTAGGTTAAGGACTCCCATACTTACATCAGCCTATGCAGGTGTTC